TTTTTTTTTTTTTTTTTTTTTTCTATTGCGTCAGATTAACAGTTGTTCAGAAGCAATTTCCACTGTTTCAAACGCCGGAGAACTTTTCTAACAATAATATCAACAAAAATGGGCTAGCCCTTCTTTACAGGCTTTGCTTCTTCCAATCATAATGTCAACATTGATTCAACCCTAAGGGACCGCCCTGCAAAGAGCAATCATGATAGTGTCTTGCAAATATTTTTCAAAATTATGAAGCTGGCAAAATATCTTGTGTAGCCAGCAACATTTACTAATTCATCCTCACTGAACAATGTACCCTGAGTTGCCTTTAACTTCCCCCAAATTCCTTCAAACCAGCATGTTAAATGAGTCCTGATCTGTTCAGTTAAAATATGTATGGAAATTTTATGGTCTCAGAAAGGCTGCCAAGATGAACAAAAAATGACTATCCAAAGGAAAGACATATTAAATATGATTACTTAGTGATTTGGAGCTCCATTTCCATAACTTTAAGAGTCTGATTCATAGAAGAGGGGCTTTGTTCTGTTTAAGGGAGTGATAAACATTTCTAATACAACAATGCTGAGTGTGAGGTTCCTCATATGTACTTTCTCATACACTGCAGAACTCTCTGCCTTTTGTAGAACAGGAAATGAGATTTAATATGTTTATCAAAACTAATAATGGCAAATCTGAATGATTCGCTGCCCTTTACAAAGACTAGTTAACTTTCTAAAACTAAGTGAAATCCACCAGTAAGAGAGCTGTCATTTGATGATCAAAATAAGAACGGAAATTTAGATTTCTTAAAATCGATTCAAATCTTGTGAATTACATAAAAAAATGACAAAATATGATACTTTATTGTAAAGCTAGGAAGAGATTCACAATAGCCTAAAATCTATCATACAGAGAATTATTAATTGGCTTTGTAAAGCCAAACGTGTGAAAAGCGATGGGAAGATTTCAGAAGATGATAATAACTATGACTGTGGTGACATGGGAGGTGAAGGCAACTAGAAGCAGACAGGGGGTGGGGGGAAGGTGTGTGCATGCTGACTCTTGCTTTACAGCACATCCTATGACAGTGGTATTGACTGGATCAGTATGTTTGCCATTCTGAAGTTTCCCTTCTCCTTATTAATAGCATCAGCATACTAGGTGTAGACCCTTTCCTAAAACATTCTTTGCTGAGGGGAGCAGGGATGAGACACTAGTTCTTCCAAGGAGCACAGGTTTGCTACTAGGTGTATACTTACTATACTTCTAAAGTATATCCATTTACCTACGCTATAATGATTTCCTTGGCAGGATCCAACAGCTGTGGGACATTTAAATCCCTCCCAAATAGAACAACTTATTCCCTTAATGAATTACAGTCCTGGGGCACCTGGGTGGCTCAGTCAGTTAAGCATGTGACTTCGGCTGAGATCATGATTTTGCGGTTCATGAGTTTGAACCCTGCATCAGGACTCTGTGCTGACAGCGTGGAGCCTGGAGTCTGCTTCATATTCTGTGTTTCCCTCTTTCTCTCAGCCCCTTCCCTTCCCTCTCTTTCTCTCTCTCTCTCAAAAATAAATAAACATAAAAAAAATGAATTACAGTCTTTCAGGTCTTTCCTATTACTCTTCTACCCTTCTTTTTTTTTTTTTATTCTATGCTTCTCACGCACCCTCCTCCCTTCAAAAGCTTATAGGAATACCCTTCACCACCATTCCCATGCAACCAATTCTGTTCAGGGATCATTGGGATAATTTGCATAAATGAATGCTTTATTAGAGACAAAGGGAGAAAACTTCACACACCAAAGACTTTAACCTATTTTTTCATATATCAATTAAGTGCCTATGCTTGTTTTTATAAGACCTATTCCTATAAACAGACATTCTCGTAAGATGTTGACTGGTTCATAAAGTAGTAGACATATTTAAAAGTATTTATCACATTTTATTTAATTAATTAATTAATTAATTTTTAATGTTTATTTCTTTTTGACAGAGAGAGATACAGCTTGAGCGGGGGAGGGGCAGAAAGAGAGAGAGAGGGAGACACAGAATCCAAAGCAGGCTCCAGGCTCTGAGCTGTCAGCATAGAGCCAGATGCGGGGCTTGAACTCACAGACTGGGACATTGCGAAGTTCCAGACTGAACCCACAGACTGAGACCTGAGCCGAAGTCCGACGCTCAACCGACTGAACCACCCAGGCGTCCCATATTTATTTATTTATTTATTTTTAAATGTTTATTTATTTATTTTGAGAGAGACAGGGCGAGAGTACATGCGAGTGGGGAAAGGGAAGAGAGAGGGAGGGAGGGAGAGAATCCCAAGCAGGCTCCATGCTCAGCATGGAGTTGGATGTGGGGCTGGATCTCATGACTGTGAGATCATGACCTGAGCTGAAATCAAGAGTTGGATGCTCAACCGACTAAGCCACCCAGGTGCCCTTTATCACAATTTTAAAATTAAATACCCTTAACTAAATATATCTACTTCTAGAAATTTGTCCAATAAATAAATTCAAATAAATGGCCAAGAGAGTATAGCATTAGATGTAAAATGCATGTCCCAAAGCTCTGATTATTCAGAAAGCTAATGACTGAAATGGAAAACTAAACTTCCATCTGGGTCACTTATTAGAAACGGGAAATGTAAAGTATATTTTTTCATTGTTCTCATCATATATCTGTCCTAATCTAGTGGTTAATAATGTTTTACTAATGGTTTTGTTACCTTTGAATATACCACGTTTCCAAGGCATAACGTGTAGAATATATGGAATTGTGCTATCAGGCTCTATGGTGATGACTGGATTTCCCCACACCATTGGAAGATCTGAAGATACCTAGAAAAGAGAGTTCAAAGAATTACATAAAGTCAATATTTACATGAAATTCGTATAACTAAAGCATAGAAAAAACTGAAAATGTAAATACTTCCATTAAAACTGTTCACCTTTATTAAGTATTTTATTTTTAAGTTTATTTATTTTGAGAGAGAGAGAGAGAAGGATTGAGCTAGGGCAGAGAGAGAGGGAGGCAGAGAATCTGAAGCAGGCTCCACACTGTTAGTGGGGAGCCCAATGAGGAGCTCTGAGCCAAAATCAAGAGTCAGACACTTAATCGACTGAGACACCCAGGTGCTCCAAAACTGTTCACCTTTAAATAAAAAGCAAACCAGAAAAATACTACATAAAGTAAAAGAAAAAATCTAAGGAGAGGCCTATGAAAAAGGAGAACAAAGAAAATGATTCTTAGAAAAAAAAAAAGACAATACTTATTTTCTGTTGCTACTGATGTTACCACTGATGTTTAGACAACCTGAATATCTTTCATAGGCCATGCATAATTTTCTTATGCATTTTGATGGACAAAAGATGAACCATTTCAATGAATTTTACATCAATATTAATACAGCAAACAAAGACTATTTAAACAGCATTCTGACCATAACTCTGTTTAATCCAACTTTCAGATCACTGAGTGGTACATCTCACTACCCCCCATTGCCTAGGCAAACACTAATCTACTTTGTGTCTATAGATTTGCCTGTTCTGAACAATTCATAGAAAGGAAATAATATGTGGTCTTTTGTGATAAGCCTTTTTCACGTAGCATGTTTTCAAGGTTCATCTATATTGTGGTAGGTATCAGTATATCATTTCCTTTCACTGACAAATGATACTAAATTGTGTGATATGCCACATTTTGTGTACCCATGCATAAGTTGATGGAAATTTAGGCTGCCTCCACTTTTGTCTATTATGAACAATGCTGTGATGAAAACATGTACAAGCTGTTAAGCGGACGCAGATGTTTTCATTTGTAATGGACATACATCTAACTGGGAGTGGAACTGCTGGAACGTATGGTAACTCAGTGTTTAATCTTTGGAATTACAGCTTTCCAAAACTTTTCTTTTTTCTTTTTTCTTTTTTTTATTTATTTTTTATTTTTTATTTATTTTTTAATTTTTTTTTCAATATATGAAATTTATTGTCAAATTGGTTTCCATACAACACCCAGTGCTCATCCCAAAAGGTGCCCTCTTCAATGCCCATCACCCACCCTCCTTCCCTCCCACCCCCATCAACCCTCAGTTTGTTCTGCTCGGTTTTTTGAAGAGTCTCTCTTGCTGGCTCCTCTCCCACTCTAACCTCTTTTTTTTTTTTCTTCCCTTCCCATGGGTTTCTGTTAAGTTTCTCAGGATCACATAAGAGTGAAAACATATGGTTTCTGTCTTTTTCTCTGTATTTCACTTAGCATCACACTCTCAGTTCCATCCATGTTGCTACAAAGGGCCAAGAATTTCATTCTTTCTCATTGCCACGTGGTACTTTCTCTATTGTGTTATATAAACCACAATTTCTTTATCCATTCATCAGTTGATGGACATTTAGGCTCTTTCCTGAATTTGGCTATTGTTGAGTGCTTGCGCTAACGTTGAGTACAAGTGCCCCTGTGCATCCAGTACCATCCTTGGGTAAATTCCTAGCAGTGCTATTGCTGGGTCATAGGGTAGTCTATTTTAATTTTCTGAGGACCTCCACACTGTTTTCCAGAGTGGCTGCACCAGTTTGCATTCCCACCACCAACAGTGCAAGAGGGTTCCGTTCTCACAGCATCTCAGCATCTGCGTCTCTGATTTGTTCATTTTTTCCAAAACTTTTCCAAAATGACTGCACCCTTTTCTTTTTCACCAACAAGGCATCATGGCTCCTACTGTTCTACATCTCGCAAAGTTTTTACTATCTGCCATCCTGATTATAGCCGTCCTCGTAAGTGTGAAGTGGTATCTGATTGTGATTTTGATTTGCATGTCTCTAATGGCTACTATACTGAGCATCTTTTCACGTGCTTCATCGCTCACTGGGAACTCTCTATTTAAACTCCTTGCACATTTTAAAAGAAATGTTACTTCTCATTTTGTTGTAGAGTCCAATATATGGCATATGGACATTTTCTCTCATTCTGTGGGTTGTTTTTTCACTTCTTTCAAGGTATCCTTTGACGCACATTTTAACTTGGAAGTTCAATTTGTTTATTTATATTTATTGCTTTGTCTCATCTGCTTTTAGTGTCGTATCTAAAAAATAATTGCCTAACCCAAATTCCTGATGACTTACTCTTATGTTTTATTCTGTTTTTATAGTTTTAGTTATTAAATTTGGGTCTACAATCCATTTGGAGTTTACTTCTGCATATGATATGAGTTAGGGGTCCAAGTTCATCCTTTTGTGTTTGACAATATAGTTGTCTCAGTACCATTTTTTAAAAAAGGCTATTCTGTCTCAATGATTCTCTTGGCATCCTTGTTAAAGACTGATTGACCATTATTATAAGGGTTTATTTCTAGACCTTCTATTGCATTCCATTCATCTATATGTCTACCTTATGCCAGTACCAAATTTTCTTTAATATCATAGTTTTGTAGTTAGGAGTTTGCAATAAGTTTTAAAATCAGGAAGTATGAATTGTCCACTTTTCTTTTTATTTCACAAGATTGCCTTGGCTGTTCTGTGTCCCTTGCATTTCTATATAAGCTTTACAATTATCTTGTCAAATTCTGCAAAAAAAAAGTCAGTTGCGATTCTGATAGATATTGTGTTGAATCTATGTATCAATTTGGATATCAAAGCCATCATAACAATATTAAGCCTCCTGATCCATGGGCATGGAATGTCTTTCTATGTATTTGGAATTTAATTTCCTTCAATGATATTTTGCAGTTTTCAATGGACAAGTCTTGCTCTTCTTTTGTTAAACTTGTTCCTAAGCATTTTATTTATTTATTTTTTTTGATGCAAATAATCATTTGCAATTGCATCAAAAAAATGCTTAGGAACAAGTTTGACAAAAATCAATCATTTGATTATTAATTTCATTTTGAATTGTTCATTGCTACAAATGATTGATTTTTGTATATTGACCTTGTATCCTACAAATATTCTGAATTCATTTATTAGTTTTGATAATATACTTCATGGATTCCTTAGAATTTTCTATTTATAAGATCATGAAATCTATAGAGATTGTCTGATTTCTTCCTTTACAATGTAAATGCCTTTTGTCTCTTGTTCCTAAACTAACTACACTGGCTAATATCTTCAGTATAATGTTAAACAGAAATGGCAAGAGTAGAAATCCTTGACTTGTTCTTGACCACAGGGGAAAATCGTTCATTGTTTTACTATTAAGTATGATGCTAGTTGTGGGATTTTCATGGATGCCCTTTAGTATGTCTCAAGTACCCACGGAATATTCTCCAGGATAGAGCATGCCTTGGGATATAAAAGGAGCCTCAATAAATTTAAAAGGGCTGGAATTATATCTAGTACATTTTCTTTTGAGAACAAATGAATTAAATTTGAAATAAAAAATGGAAAGAAATTTGGGAAACCCTTAAATAGGGGTGCTTGGGTGGCTCAGTTGGGTGAGCAGCTGACTCTTGACTCATGACCATCCTGGTCATGATCCCAGGATCGTGGGGTTGAGCCCCTGTCAGGCTCTGTACTGAGTGTGGAGCCTGCTTAGGATTCTCTCTCTCTCCCTCTGTTCATGCTCTCTTCTTCTCTCAAAAATAATAATAATAAAATAAAATAAAAATAATTTTTAAAAAAGAGTCCTAAATAACCAATGTGCCAAAAAAGAAATCCCAATGAAATTAGAAAATATGCTGAGTCCCTAGAGTGAATGATTCCTCTTTTCTATTGTACTTTCAAGTCCAGAGTTTTAAAATAATCACTATATTATTGCTATTATCTGTTTTTTGGAACTTTTCATTAACTCCTCAGAAAATAGTTCTTTTAGCTCATTGAACATATTTACAAAGGCTTGTTTAAAGTCTTTGTCTAGTAGTCCTACATGTGGGCCCCTACTGAGACAGCTTTTAGTGACTGCTTATTTTCCTGTGTAGGGGCCATACTTTCCTGTTTCTTTGTCTCATAATTTTTGCTGTGGAAAAATGTGCCTTTTAGATAAGCCAATAGAGCCATTTTTGGAATCAGATCATTAACTCCCAATGGTTTGTTTTTGTTGCTGTTTTTTCTTGTTTGTTCTTTGCTGGTTTAGTGACTTTTCTGGACCAATCCTGTATATTCTGCATTCACTAGAGCGTGTGTTCACTTAAGTCCCTGCTGAGTTAGCTTAGTGGCCAGCAATAGTTTGTCCCAGGTTTCCTTACACGCTTGAGAATGTAAATTATCTACCCTTTGTTGAGGAGCGTTGCATATGTGTTATGGCACATTTTCAGCACTCAGGGATCTGACAACTCTGCCTCAGCCTTCACTTCCAGCTCCCATAGTGCCTCTATGTCTGTGGAGACAAAAGACCTGGCACCCTCTCAGGACTTCTCTGGTCAACTGCACAATGCTACCCATGCATGTGGCCTGCTTGTTCCCCAGCGATACTTCAGAGCTTTTAAAATCCCGTAAGGACCTCTCACTCTTCAGATCTTCCTTTCAAGTTTTTGGCCAAACTCTTGCTGGGCACAGCTGTTTTTGCAGCCTCAGGCAACTATAGTGTCAAATAGTAACTGCTGAATATTTTTTTGGCAAATATCCTGAAGATAGGGCCTTTCCAACAGAGCAAGATTTGAGACAAGTCAGGTAATGGCAACACTCCACTAGTGGGGAATTGCTAAAGAGGGGGCTGCAAGGAATGGCAAATTGTGACAATGTCCTGAGGATGGGAATTATAAGGAGATCCATACTCAGTCTGCCTCTTCCTTTGTTTGCAAGGCTGCAAGTTTTCATAGCTACTATGGTTGCAAGATTGAGGAGCTGAGGAGAGGGGGATAGAAAGAGGCCAAATAAAAATACCACAAATCACTCTGCTCTTACCAAGATTACAAGTTTTTCTTGAGCAAATATTCCTCAGATTATTTTAAGCTTTTGTTCAATTTCAAGGCCTGAAAATTTTCATTCTGACAACTTGTGCCAGTGTTTTATTGTTTTTAAGGAGAAACTGATTTATGAAACTCCTTGCTCTACCATTCTGGAAGTCCCACACCTGTTGTTTTCCTTACTGCAGAACTATTTTCCACAGCATTGTACCTGTATCTCAATTATGTTCTCTGATTTTTAATTTTCTCTTTCATATTAAGGAAGTCACAACCTCCTACTGAAAACTACTCTTAGGGCAGTAAGATGAAATATAAGTTAAAAGGATTTTTTAAAAAGGCATAAAAGTGACTACTAGCAGTAATGAAAAACAGAACAAAGAAAATATATGAAAAGAATATATTGAGCTTGAGTTGTTAGCAGATTGTCAAAGTGCAGGTGTATAGCAGTCGAGAATGAGGGGCTGAGACAACACATGTCTTGAGGAAAAGTGTGCAGCTGGCATTTGTACCTAGATGGCAGTTTGAAGCCAAGAAACTGCCAAGTGAGATGTCGTAAAGACATAAGGATACTTTGGAAGATATAAACCTGAAGAGACATCAGAAGGTTAGAGGAATAAAAGAACCAGATAAGTAATAATCAAAATCAAGAAATGGCAGGGAAATGAGGAATACAGAATGGTATAAAATAAACAGTGAAGAGTGTTAAGAAGGCAGACTGACATTGCAAAACACTACAGGAATTGTGAGGCAGATACCTCAGTAAAATAACTGATTTTCCTTGACCAGAAGTCAAGTGTGATCTCTGTGGCAGAGGTTTTAGCCCAAAAGAAGAGCTATAAATGGATTGCCATAAATTAAGAAGTTTAGCAATCATGGACAATAAAGGTGATAATAGTTGATACATAGAACACACTGAGGGTTGCTGGAGGGGAGGTGAGCAGGGGGATGGGCTGGATGGGTGATGGGCATTAAGGAGGGCAACTGTTGGGATGGGCACTGGGTGTTGCATGTAAGTGATGAATCACTGAATTCTACTCCTGAAACCAACATTACACTATATGTTAACTAACAGGAATTTAAGAGAAACTAAAAACTAAAAAAAAAAAAACCTAAAAAACTAAAACTAAAACTAAAAAAACTAAAAACTAAAAAAAACCTAAAAACTAAAAACTAAAACTAAAACTAAAAACTAAAAAAAAACCCAAATTAATTTAAAAAAGGTGATAATAATTAAAGAAGAAATGGTGTAGAGACAAGTTTTCTTTTATTTTTTAAAAAAATGTAATGTTTATTATGTATTTTTGAGAGAGAGAGAGAGAGAGAGAGAGCAGGGGAGGGACAGAAAGAGAAGAAGACACAGAATCCGAAGCAGGCTCCAGACTCTGAGCTGTCAGCATAGAGCCTGATGCGGGGCTTGAACTCACAAACCGCGAGATCATGATCTGAGCTGAAGTCAGATGCTTAACCAACTGAGCCACCCTGGCGCCCCTAGTTTTCTTTTATAATGGAAAAATATGAGACTATTTATAGATTAAGGAAAATAATCACACAAAGAGAAAGATATTGAAAGAGAGAAAGAGCAGGGGAAAGGAATGTGAATCAATCTTGAGTGCATAGAGGTCAAATTCATTTCATAGATGAAGGAATGAAGATGGAGAATCAGAAGCATGTCAGTGGTCCTAAAGCAAGTGTATGATTAAAGCTCAAAGTATAAAGCAAAGCTTCTCTCCCCAGCCTTTCTCCTTAGTACTACCTCAGTTGTTCCCCAAAAGAATTTCTATTGAAAGGCAAGCAATAAACCAAATATTATGAATGAAATGAAAGGGAAAATTCATAGTGCTCATTATCCTGTGTTGATTAAAGACAATGGTAAATTTCAAAGAAAGAAAGGTGATATTGTATCTATTGATAATATCTCTAGGAACAAATCTTTCTTAAATCTTAAATACATTTCTGTTCTTTTATAATTTTTGGAGCTATTTAATTATAAAAATATGGGGGGAGCCTGAGTGGCTCAGTCAGTTAAGCATCCAACTCTGGATTTTGGCTCAGGTCATGATTCCACAGTTCGTGAGTTTGAGCCTTGCATCGGGTTCTGCACTGACAGTGCAGAGCCTGTTTGGGATTCTCTCTCTCCCTCTCTCTCTGCCCCTCCCCCACTTGTGTTCTCTCACTCTCAAAATAAATAAATAAATAAAAACCTAAAAAAGACTTTAAATATAAAAATATGGAAAATCTTCCTTGAAAAGCTATTAGGTGCTCGATAGTATAATTTATGAAAGGTATAAATATGTAGATAAGAGAGACATGCCCCTTTTCTCAGTTTATAATCTGGTGGAAAATAATGAAAAGGTAATAGCAATATTATATAGTATGTATGATGGTGGAACAGGTAAAAAAATGTTGTCAAAGCACATGAAAGGCATCTATTCCCCAGTTTTATAATCCATAAAATTTAAAAGCTGTTCAAAAAAGTTTTATTTTTATTTTATTTTTATTAAAATTTTTTTATGTTTATTTATTGATTTTGAGAGAGAGAGAGAGAGGGAGGGAGGGAGGGAGGGAGGGAGGGAGGGAGGACAAATGCGGGATGGGTAGAGAGAAGGAGAGACAGAATCCCAAGCAGGCTCTGCACCCTCAGCGCAGAGGCTGATGCGGGGCTTGAACTCACAAACGGCGAAATCATGACCTGAGCCGAGACCAAGAGTCAGACGCTTAACCAACTAAGCTACCTAGGCACTCCCCAATTTTTTTTGAAAACGCCTTTTATTATCATTCTTGGAAAAGTGGCATTTAAGACTTGCCCTAAAGAATTAAGAGGAGAAAGACAGAGAAATGGAAGATAGGGAGTTGTATAGAGAGCTCCAGACAGGAGCAAAAGGAAATTCTGTTTACAAAGAGCTGAGTGCTTCTGGGGCCAAGAGTGGCAGGAGATGAAAATGAGCAGATGAGCTTTTAAAGGACAGCAAAAGCCACTTCAGGGAGTATGGATTCTATCCTGAAGGTAAGAGATGACAGGACAAGTCTCAGCAGGGGAGTGTCAAGATGACATTTTCGTTCTTAATATTCACTCCATTTGCTATCGAGTAAGGAAAGAAGAAAATCAAAGCACATATTATTTTCAGGATTACAAAAAAAATCAGGAGGCAAACCCAGAGAATTTCCAGACTTCTCTAATACCCTCTGAAACTCAGGCACTCATGATGGATAGATACGTGAATCTTCTTTCAAAGATTCTCTTGGGCACACAATAATTTGTAGATAAATGTGGGAGCGGGGAGTGAAAAAATTTATTTTAGGATTGACTTAAATCAAGTGAGGACAGCCAGGTGAAAGGCTTCATATAAAATAATGTAAACAATTATGCATTTCTTCACATTCCCAATATTATTTACGCTGATAAATGATAGGATACACTTTTGAAAATTTGTGTTTACAGATTTCACATTAAAATGGGATGAGCTATCCAAAATATTTTGAAAATGCCTTTTGTTATCATATACAATTTCTTCAGATCAAAGTACACGATTCAAATAGGTAGATTTTAATATGCTTTATGATTATATACTAATACCTAAATATAAAAGTTGTTTGATGTTATTTCAACTTTACAATTGAAAAGAAATTGAATAGTTATTGGCCTAATGAGAAGTAGAATTCTAAGCATGTTCTTATGTGACACTGCTTCACCTAGTTAAGTAAAATTAAGTGGTTTTAAAATTTCATATAATTCAATATAGTCCTTTTGAAAACACTTTCAGACTTAAAGAAAAAAATCTTACCTTAAATGTTTGGATGGTCTTTGTATGATTGGGCACCATTATGGGTTTATTTGTCATTTCTCCTACTTGACAGTTTATAATGATGTGTTCCAAGGCCAGCGGTCTTTTTCCAATCCCTTTTATGTCAAAGACATACTCCATACCATCTGCTTCATTTTGCACAATAAGTCTGCCCTGTGACAAATCACCCAAATTTCAGCACTATAGAAGTCACAGTCGGATGCCCAACAATCTCTGCTATCTGATTAACTTTGAATCTGATTAATGAAATGAGCTGTCAAGGAGGTGTCAGTCATTGACTTTTCCGGTTTATGTCTAAATACTTCTACTGAATGAATAAAGATGAATTTCCTGTGAAAGCTCTGTATTTCTCTGGACTTTCTCTAAATGACAGAGTTTATATAGGCCTTCTTGTACATAGCAATTCCATACGTTTTTATGTCCTTGTCAAAGGAATATGTCTTAAGAAAGTATTCTCTGAAGTACCCCCTACATTAATGAATAAAAACAAAAGAACAATGATTTTACTTTGTTAAACATTTTGTGTAAAAATAATCTAGACATTAAGTATTGGCAGCCAGGGGCGTTGTGAATTTCAGAAATTTTATCCCTCAAGTTAAAACATTTATTAAGGTTTCAAGCAGAGTGAATACTGATGATCAAAATCATAGAAGATATAACTTTTCTGCAAGAAGATTTATCATAAATTAGACATGTTAATATCATACATCAATTTATAGACATTATTAATACTAGGGAAAAAAATCAATGAGTTCATACCATAATCTCACATTCCAAAATAGGTCTGAATGTGAGAGGATACTGCACAGTTTCACCTGCTCCAACATATAAAACAGAAGGTCCATAAAACCATTCTCCTTCTATAGTAACTTGACATTTCCATTCATTCTTTGTTTTGTTATTCTAAAGCGTGAAAAAAAAAGTAGAAAAATGTCAGAGGGATGATGATGATGAAGTTGAGTTACATATTAGTTCTTGGTATTTTTAATAAAATTATATATTATATTTTAAATTACATTTCAGAAAAATTACCGCTTGAAAGTCATAGTTGTTATGAACAACTATCAACAATGTGAACATAAGGCATGAGCATGACTATGCTTTCAATGTCAAATAGGCTGATTCATGGGTTATTTAATATTTAAGGAAATATTTGTTTAACTTACTAACTATTGTTAAAATTATAAAATGGTCTTAGAATCACACATTCTTCTCCTAATTATGGGCAATCTCTCTGGCAGACTGCTCAGATCGCCAAGCTTATATATCCCATCAGAACAAATTTCTGTGCTTTGAGTAGACTTTTGTTATATCTTTAATAATTAAACAAACAAAAACCAATTTCTAGTCTAGAAAATTCAACATTCCTTACAAATATATAACCTTCTTCTATGCTGTAGTATCACTTTGATAGCCAAGCTACAGTCATTGTTCTTAGTGCCCATGAACCCATCTCAATTGTGAGGATCACAACCAAATTTGAAGTAGAGAGATTGGAGGCAGATCATTACTCTGCCTGGTGGAACCAGGAATTCCTTTTGAGTAGGAATGTGATGATAAGTTAAGGAAGTTAGAGTTAATTTTTTAAGGACTGAGATCCAATGGAAGTGATTAGTGAGGGAAGTAACATGGTAACATTTATATTCAGGAATACAAATTCCTGTCATCAACGTGGAAAAACAAATGGCAGCAGATAATGCAATTAGAAATTCTACTAGTTCAAGATGAAGGTTTGGAGGACTTTAATTGAGACAGTAGCAGTGGGGATGAAAAAAAGTACAAAAATGTTTGCACTTACCACTGGAATATTCTGGGTATGGGCTTCAAATGCTGGCGTTTCAAATTCAAACCTGGCCTCTGGTTCTTCTCTATTTACTATACCTTCAATGCAATAGACACGCACATCATACCGTGATGTCAACAAAATTTTACAAGGGTAGCGTCCAGCACTGAGAGGAACAAATCGTAAAGGAACTAGAACGGATCCATCTGCAACTATCAAAAACATTTAAAAAATAGCTTAATCATCTTTAATCACATAAATCCCAAAATTCATTTTGGGGTAAAGCAATATGTAATACTATTATATTTAATGATATTGTATCATCTAGAAGAAACTAGCTTATCCTGAAGTAACACTCTACTCCTAAATCTCAAGGGCATAATAAGCAAGTTTATTTATCAGTGACAGAATATATCTTGCATAGGTCACAGGAAGATCTACTCAGGGACCCATGCTGTGAAAGATTCCATGAGCTTGCAACTGTACTTGCAAGTACAGGTCAGGGGAAGAAAAGTGGCTGGATGTTTGTTCATGGGCTTTTCAGTGCTCAACTCAAAAGTAATACACATAACATTGGGGTGCCTAGGTAGCTCAGTTAAGCGCCTAATCCTTGATTTCGGCTCAGATCATGATCTCACAGTTTGTGGGTTTAAGCCCTGTGTCGGGCTGTGGACTGACAATGTGAAGCCTGCTTGGGATTCTCTCTGTCTCTCTCTTTTTCTCTCTCTCATAATAAATAAATAAATAAATAAATAAATAAATAAATAAATAAATACACAAACAAACATACATTAAAAAAATAATACACATTACAGATGACCCTTGAATAATACAGGCTTGAACTGTGCAGGTCCATTTACACACAGAATTTTTTCAATAAATATAAGAAAGTACTGTAAATGTATTTTCTCTTCCTTAGGATTTTCTTTTGTCTAGCTTACTTTATTGTAAGAATACAGTATACAATACATATAACATGCAAGATGTGTGTTAATCAACTGTTATGCTATTGGTAAGGCTTCTGGCAAACAGGGGGCTATTAGTAGTGAAGTTTTGGGGGACTCAAAAGTAGGGATTTTCGACTGTGCAAGGGGGAGTTGTTCCTAGCACCTGTATTGTTCCAAGGGCCAATTAATTGGTCAGAATCAAACCCATAGCTCTATCTAACTGAATGGAGACTGAGAAATAAGACAGATATGTGGAATATTTGGTAAGCATTATTGTCTGCCACATTTCTTATTTATTTATTTATTTATTTATTTATTTATTTATTTATTTATTATTTTAAGTTTATTTTGAGAGAGAGTGTGTGCAAGCAGGAGAGAGGGGGAGGGAGAGAGAGAGTGAGAGAGGGAGGGAGAGAGGGAGAGAGAGAAGGAGGGAGGGAGAGAGAGAAGGAGGGAGGGAGAGAGAAATAATCCTAAGCAGGATCCATGCTCAGCGTGGAGCCCAATGAGGCGCTTGATCCCAGGACCCTGGGATGATGACCTGAGCTGAAATAAAGAGTTGGATGCCCACCAACTGAGCCTCCCAGGTGTCCCTGTCTGCCACATTTCTATGACTTAGGGATACTCTGTTCCATACTAATCAAAATAATTTGCAGCTTGACCAGCAGGTTGAGATAATTTTTCCATAGTTAAAAAACCAAGGGAAGCAGAAGAAGGCATGCCCAAATAATACTTCTCACATCACCTTGTTATACCATTAACCTTGAGTCAACAGTTAACAGCAGTTTAATGGTGGGTAGGCTTCTATGCTTGTCTTTTCCTTCTAATCAACACTAGTTTTTTTCGCTGCAGCTCACCATCCTCCATGATATGAAGATGAATAAATAAAATATACAAAAATTTATTTATAAAATAAATAGAAATCTCATGACACTAAAATAGGATGTAGTATAAGAATATAACATAAATTTCCCCACTAATGGCAAAGTATTTAAGTAGTAGATAAAAAAGAAATGATAAAAAAATGATTAAAGCCTAGTTCTGTATTAGAAAGTTTTCTGAAACCAAGAAAACAAATCAAGCTTATCAACCAATGACCAGATAAGTATTATGACATCAATTAGCTATAATTTTAATTCATTCACGTTTAGCACCTCAAATGTTAAAAATGGCAAACCTGTTTTCAAATACACTAAATTTATGCAAAGAAAATCAGTCACTCCTGCAAGAACATTAATTGCTTTAAATCATTTTAAAATCGAATTGGGGATTTGTATATGTGTGGTATATATTAGGTGTTATATACTATAAAAACATATTAATTACATGCACTGTAGCATGCTGCATGCTGTATATTTCTATGTGTCATACATAATACATATAATGTTAGTGTTATACATTGTATACTAAAACACACTGACGATGGATCACATTTGAAATCTATATTACATCTAAGCAAAGTTCAAGATTATCAGCTGGTCTAAAGAGAAAACAAAGGCTGCCAGAATGTTGTTATTTTTATTCTATCAAATTTAATTTTAGAATAAAAATTTTCTTCTCAAAAAGGACTCCAGTCACATTTTATCATCAGTGATTCATGGACTGTTTTCATTCTGAGAGAATTATTTGAGTTGTGACAACATCATTAGAACAAACCAGGTGAGATAATCATGTGATCAAAACGTGTTGCTTTATTAACAGAAATAAAGAAACCTCATCGTTCTCTTTCACGAATAGACTGAAAGGAAAATATTTAGATTAGGTAATTTAAATAAAATTACACTGCTTAGAATAGGAAATTTAAGCAACTCAAGAGTAATTATTATTCTCATTGAAGACAGAGAATAACTGGCTATTTAATAGTAAACATGATTGAATGCATAAGTCCCAGTGTAAAGATCCTACCCAAAGCTTTATGTTATATGCTACTCCCTTTTCCCTAAAAATATCGACTTCTTAATGATACTGAGTGTGAAAGTGAAAGCCAAGGACGTTCTTAAGTGAGCATTTTTCAAGTCATGAAATGTTCATGAGTAAAGACCTTAAGGAATGCACAGTGCCAGCCTCTCTCCTTTACCAGTTGGAAAAGGAATCCATCCTAACAGTGGAATTCATGGAAATGATCACTTTTTTAAAATGTTTATTTATTTTGGGGGGGGAGGGGTAGAGAGGTGGGGATGGAGGATCCTAAGCGGGCTCTGTGGTGACAGCAGCAAGCACAATGTGGGGCTCGAATTCACGAACCCCAAGATCATGACCTGAGCCGAAGTCAGATGCTTAACTGACTGAGCCACCCAGGCACCCATGATCACTTTATTTCTGAAGGTACAGTGATAAAACAATTGTCATTTAATTGATTCATGCCACAAACGTAAGTAGAAATATCATAACTATCAACAGGAAGTCACTTCTGAATTAAGCCAGTATCCACATTCCCTTAAGATATAAAATAGCAGAGGTGGAGAGGATTTGGATTTTTAAAAATTTGGAAATTTTATGGCTACATTATATCATCAAACTATCATTCTCTTTTTGGGATATGTTTTCTCAAAGTGTTTTCCAGTTCTGCACTGCAGCAGATACTGTCTATGCTGTGCCAGGTCCCCTGGGCATTTAAATCCTCCCTGTACGCAAATGGCTTTATGGAAAACTGTGACATTCTCTCCGAGGGCTTTCTCTGAACATATGAGGGTACTCAGCCTTCACATGGATCAGACCACAAATGTGTTTGTAGTCCTCAACAAATATGTAACAAATTGGTGGAAAAATAACTCAGCGTCTTTGACTTTTGGTAGGAATAACTCTAACGTGAATTCTACACGAACTCCTAGAGATCCCCAGGGCAACTGAGCCCAAAATGTTAATAGTGGTAACTACTCATTAACAGTCCCTGAATTGGCTTCTCCTTGATGTCTCTCACTCTCTCATACTCTTACCTATGGTTTCTGAGATCACCTCTCAAACTACTTGCTCTCAAGACCTTGTTTCAGGGTCTGATGCTGGGGATCCCCAACGAAACTCACACCCTTAGGCCCAGGAAAGAGAGCTTCCCATCCAGGGCCTCATGCTTTCTAGGGCCTCTGAGTCTCCTCTGGCACCATCTCTTTGGACATGCAAGGAATACGTGGGCCCAATGGTACAGGCCTACATGTAACCCAGCCCCATCCGTGTTCCTAGTTCATGGGATGCCATAATTCACAATCCAGAATGTTTGGATCCTATTTCCAGGACCTTCACAGGACTCTTTGACAGTTTTCTCAGTGGAACACTGCTAGAATTGAAACCTAATGTGTGGCTATCGAAGGGAGGATAGAGACCAAGATTAATTATGTGGGCTGACGCATCCACAAATTTGTACATGAGACCTCTTAAGGTACATGCTGTCGAAGTTGAAGGAAGGAAGAGAACAGAGTGAGCACCTGGCCAGGGCCCAGCTATTCTGTGCTATCATATTCTAGGGCAAAACTCTGAGGTGGTCAAGAATTCTAAATTCAAACTTGGTCTTACAGGTTGGTGTAAAGTTATATTTGTCAGGGTGGAATAATAGAATATAATCTATTTAAAAATTTGTTAGTTTGACTTACCACTTAAAAACTTTAGACATATGGTACATGGGCTTCCACCTGTACTTTTGAACTGGCATCACATATGTTAGGGACAATCTGGACCTGTCTTTTCCATCCCTACTCTACTCAGATGTAGCTCACCTGGGGCCTTTCCTACACATATGATCCTAGTAACTGTGGCAGTTCCCAAGGTTCTGTAATTAAAGATAACAAAATATATCTAAATTTAACAGATTACAGTTACTGAAGGAAATGAAGGAAATAAAGACAGAATCTCTCCAATGAAAGAATACATAATTTTATATAACATTAGCTACTAGAAGAAGTCAGTGTGATGCACAGTTTTTTAAATAATCCATAAAAATATGCTACGCTTGGATCCTAGGAAAGGTCATGGTTGGTACAATAAGTCAATACTGTTCTTTTTGTTAACTATCAGTGCAAAAACAAACTACCTTAAAACTTAGTGGTTTAAGGACACAACCATCTATTTGCTCATGCTTCAGTGGTCTGACCTCATTTGGGAAAGCTTATGTATTTTATGTGGTATTAGCTGGGCTCACTCATAATTTGGGACCTCAACTGGGAATTCTGTCCATGAGCTCTCTAACCCATGAGATGAGCCCAATGTTTCAAATAGTACATGAAAATTACTAACAGCAAAAGAGAGCCCTCATGTATGAATGGTCATCGTACATC